TGTTTAAATTGAATTTTAAAGCATGAATAGTTCACCAGGCAGAAAAGAAGGAAAAGGAAACCCTCGGCAGAGGGAACAGGCTGTGCAGATGCTCAGTGGCATGAAACAGGGTGGCTTGTTTAGAAAACTGCCTGCAGCCCCACCAGGCTAGGACAGGGCGGCTAGGGCAGGACAGGAGGGGAGTGTGTGTGGAGGCAAGGCTGGGAGTCAGCAGGGGCCAGACCCACCTGGGACCTCCATCCAGGGCAGCTACCTCTGGACGGCCACAGGACCAAGTCCTCCTCACAGGACAGGCCAGCCACCCCTCTGGTGCCCTGAAAGTGTGGGCTTCCCTGGGAGAGTGGCTAATAGTAATAATAATAATAGTAATAATAATAATAGCAAACAGTTCTACCATACTTACTCTACTCCCCTGCTCACAGCAACCTCTTGAGGTGGGTATATTATCTCTCATTTTGCAGACAAGAGAAAAACACAAGACCCTCCCACCAACTCTCCAGCTGGTTAACAGGTGCCTGGGAAGCAACCCAGGGAGGCATCTGGTCCCCTGTCCTTGGTCTTCCCCACCTCCTCCGCCATGCTGGGGTCTGACCTGCAGGTTTGCAGAGCGTGGAACCCCACCGAGACGCCCCCCACCCCCGTGTGGCATCTGGACCCTGGACTGGTGGAAGGCCTGGGTTCTAGTCCCCAGTCTGCTCCTGCCTTGCTGCTATGATCTCGAGGTGGTGGTTTAACTTCTCCAAGCCTCAGTTTACCCTTCTTGGAGTTGGGGATCCTAGCAACTGCCTTATTTCCTGCTCCAGTTCCTGTGAGACTCCCAGGAGGGAGCAGAGAAAGAGAGCTTTTGAAAAGTACAAAGAGCTGCGCTCACGACAGTGTGATTATTATTGTTACCTTGATGTGGGGATAAGGGAGGGGGAGGAGGTGCAGTGACAGTTGCCAAGAAACCTGGGAGCCTTGGCAGCAGCTTCCGCCCAGCCCCTCCCACTCAGGAGCTGGGCCACCGGGCCCTCCCCCCACACCCCTGCCACACCCTTTCCCTGGAAGAGATGGGTGCTCCAGGAGGGAGGGGAGCCGGAGCCAGCTGGCCAGTGGCCATGTACCCACAGGGCCTGAAGGTGACCCTGGCGTGTGCCTGGCCCAGACTCCAGGCTGGCTCCTGCTTTCTCTGTGACCTTGGGCAAGTTACCTCCTCTCTGGCTGCTGCCTTTTCCTGTAACCAGGTGTCCTGAACCTGTAGGCACGTGTCCAGGCAGACAGGGCAGGATTGGAGCTGGACCTAGGGAAGGTGCTTGGTGGTAGCTGCAGGAGCCAGGGGCTGCGATGGGGAGGCCACTGGGGGCCGAGGCTAGGTGACAGGACTGAGGGCTGGGTTGAGACCTGATGTGATGTGTGTAATAGAAAAACCCTGGGCTGGGGTTAATCCTCGCACTGCCCTTTCCCTAGTGTGACCTTGGGCTTGTCACTTAACCTCTCTGAGCCTCAGTTTTCTTATCTGGAACAAAAGTTGATAATAGTCCAGCCTCAAAAAGCTGCTGTGGTGATCGAATGAGACAAGGCTGTGTAAACTGTAGAGTGCGGTGCAGACCTGACTATGGTCATGGCAGGAGGAAGGGAAGAGAGGGGAGTGTTCCCCCCGGCATGCTCCAGGCACGTCCCAGTTGCCGCATGTGCAGGAAGATTGCGAAGTGTTTTAAGCTGAGCCAGGCCATAGGGTCAGGAAGGTTTCCAGAGAAGTGGGGAGGGGGCAGAGACTTGGGGGACCCCATGTGAATGGAATGGTGGAGACCAGGAGAAGACAAGGTGGGATAGGAGAGAGAGGGGAGGGACAGAGAGGTTCAAGTGCATGGCGAGGGAGGAAAAGGACCAAGCTGGGGAGGTCTGCAGAGGTGGGCCCGAAACGGGGGGGAAGAGATGGTGAGTGGTGAGCAAGCTGAGAGGAGAAGGAGGAGGCATCAGAGGAGGACAGAGGGTGGGAGGGAGGCGAGAGGCGGAGTTTATTCATTTCTTCAAAAGTATTCATTGAGCAACTACTACTGACTAAGAGGCCGTGTAGTGTAATTTAGGGTCCTGCATCTAGACCCGCATGGGCGGGGTTCAAGTCCTCTGCATTTCACTTACTGTCAGCGTGACCTTGGACCCGTCGCTTAGCCTTTCTGTGTCGTAGTTCCCTCCTCTGAAAGATGAGGATTAAATGAGTTAATACAAGTGAAGCAGTTAGAGCAGAACCTGCCCACGGTATGTCCTGTATCAGCGTTGGCTGCTGTCGCTGTTGTTACTATTATTATTATTACCTCTCCTAGGTGACGTGCCGGGTCCACGGCGCTGGCCGCCCATGCTATGAAGTTCAGATCTTGGGCTCTGGAGTGACAAACCTGGGTTCAAATGCTGGCTCTGCCTCGTTAACTGTGTGACCTTGGGCAAGTTAAGGTACCTTTCCGAGCCTCCGTTTCCTCGTGTGAAAAGCAGCAGTTTTTGAGCACCTGCCTCATTGGGGAGCTGTGAGGATTAAGTAAAATCAGGCAAAGCAGAGGTGGCTTGTGGCTTTTGTCATGACTGTCCTTGTCTCTTCAGGGCTGGGATGGATGGGGGCAGGCAGGGCCCAGAGCCTCCGATCTCCTGCTCTGTCCTCTTCCTGGATCCCCTCCCTTCCCCTGCCCTTTAGCCTCAGCAGTGACCTTTTCGGTGGAGGAGTCACCTGGGCGTGGGGAGCTGGGCATTGCCTGTGAGGGGTGGACTCTGGCCAGCCAGGAACTGGAGAGCTGGGGGCCTCGGGGCGGGGTCCCGGATGGAATCAGAGCCCCCTTGGCTGGAGAGACCTCCCCAGTCCTGTGCCAACATGAGCAGTCCTGAGTGAGATGAACCCCTGGACATGGGGAAACTGAGGCTGACAGGGTTCTAGAAGGGGAGTGTGTTAGGGAGCTGCTGCCAAGCTGACCTGCCGCGGCCACTGTCTGAGCCTAGGGGCGTGAACGGGGGCAGACAGGACAGCACCGAATAGCTCAATGATGGGCGACAACCTCCACTCGGCCACCAGGGCCACACCAAGACCATGATCCCCACCATCCAGGGACCCAGCTTCACCTGGGCTTTAACCCCAAGACTCCCTGGCCCCTGGGCAGCCTCTGCTCTCCATCCCACTGGCACTGGCCCTGCCTGATCAAGGGCATGGGCTGTAAATTCTGGCTCTGTCACCCACTTGTGGGGGAAGTGGCTTCACTTCTCTGAGCTTCAGTTTCTCCATCTGTAAAAATGGGGATAAATAATGCCAACCTCCCAGCACTGTAGTGAGGGTGTGATATGCTTGACATAGTTCCAGGCACACAGTAGGTCTCAACAAAGAGTCCCCATGGCAGCCTCAATGGAATTTGCCTAGACCATGTCTATGGGCCTCTCTCTACCCCCTCGTCTCCAGTCTCTCCCCACATCAGTGCACCTGACAATCCAGGGACCTGTGCTTAGGCCATTCCCTTGCTCACAAACCTTCAGTGCCTCCCTACTGCTAACTTTCATTCATTCATTCAACCATTCATCCATTCATTCAACCATTCAACCATTCATCCATTCAACAAACACTTAATGAGACTCTAACTTGGGGAGCCAGAGTTTACCATGAATGAATGAATACCGAAGAATTCAGTGAGTGAATACCTACTAGCTGCCCGTGCTCTGTGATGAATTTTTTTAGAAACAGGCTGAGAGGGGTGTGTCACTGACTCAAGGTCACACAGCACGTAAGTGCCTGGGAGTATCTCCCCCACACTGATGCCATGGGCTTGAAATGCCACTGCCACCATATCTATCCTTCTGGGTCATGCACTGGCCAGAGCAGGCCCACCTTAAGAGGCCAGCACCCCTGGGAGGTGGAGAGGCATCTGGTGCCTGCAGTGGGCTGTGGACGGTTCCTCTGGGCTCTTTCTCCTCCTGGAGGAGCTGAGCCGAGGGAAGTCAGCAGGGGACTCAGAGCTTCCTCACAGTCTCCTTCCAGGGCCAGGTTTGCACAGGCCCTTCCTCTCTTGGGGTGTGGCAGTCCCAGCTCTGCCTGACTCAGGCCCTCTGTGGGCCACTGAGGATCATCTGGTGGCCTGAATGACTCACCCTCTCGGGACCAGCCTCCGTCGATGGGATCAACCAGGGTGGTAGTGCAGCCACGTCAGGGCGGCCCAAAGCAGCAGGCAGAGCCAGGCCTGCTCACCCGGGCTGGGGCTCCCTGGGTCCCAGGAACCACTGGGCGCTTCCTCTCCCTGATCCCAGAGGTGGCCTCCTTGGCAGGCTTTCTAGGGTGACAGGAGCTGACTTCACCCTCGCCAGACCTGATTTCTTTCCTCAGGGAGGGGCTTGGGTGTGGGCAAAGAGTCTGGGTCTGGAGTCATTCAAGCCTCGCTCAGATGCTGGCCCTGCTGCTAACCTCTGCATGCCTCTGGGTCCTCATCTGTAAAGCGGGACTACAGCTTGGTGAGGAGTCCGTGCCCCCAGGCCTGGAAAGAGGGGCTCGGCACACGGCCTGGCACCTAGTGGGCCCAAGGAGTGTCGTTATTGTTACTGTCGTTTGTAACAGCAGTAGCCCAGGTGCCTCTCAGCCTTAAGGCTGCTGTCTCCCTGATTCTCAGGGAGGGGTCCATAGAGGCTGGGGCTCCCTGCTTAGTTCAGGGGTCAGGGCTCAGCCCTTTACAACAACCCTCACTATCCCCTGCCTCGGTCTACCCAGCTTCAGAATGGGCTGTGGACACCTCTTATCTGGAGTATGCGTTAGGGAGGCCTAATGGAGAGCTTGGGGGGAGAGCCTGTCCACATCTCTGATCTCTGGGGAAGGAGAGCCTGTTTGGCAGCCCTACTCAGAAAGCCCCTCCTCTCCCTTCTCCCGGGGAACCCAGAACCCCCTCCTCCATGAAATCCGTCCCCCCTCACATCCCCCAACTCTGAGAGTGATCCTCCTCCCAGAGTTCACAAATCTCCCAACTTGGGGCTCTCTCTGACCTCAGACTCTTTTTCTCTTCTAGGAGGAGTGATGGGCAGAACCAGCGCTTCCCTCAGGCACTAGACCTAACACGAGTGGACTTCGTTCCCTCCCATACTGCTTCACTCTACCCTAAGGTGAATGCCCCTGTTCCCACTGCCCCTGGTCTGGAGCCCCCCCCCCAGGGCTGAGAGATACCTAAGAATGACTACTGGGCAGAGGTAAAATGTTCAGGTAGATGCTGCTTGGGATTTAGCCCCCTAAAGGGATACCGTTCCTCACCCCTGGGTGGGCCTGGTGCAGTCTCAGAGGTGGAACCAGGGTCTGTAGCACTGTTGGTGGGGGGAGCAAAACAGGTGGAAATATACTGGCCAACCAGCTCTTCTTCATTGTCTTCATTATCAGCATCACCATCAGTTTCCTCATCTGTAGATCGAGTATACCCCACTTCACAGGGCTATTGTGAAGCTTAAATGAAAAAGTGCCAACGAAGCATTCCATGCACAATATCTGGCACAGAGCACGAGCCTGATAAATGAGGCTATTATTGTCATTATCATCAAAATCAGGTGTTTGCCCAGCATCTGATTTGTGTGGGACTTTGTGCTGGGCGCCGATAGAGCCAGAAATCAATCTGACACAGACCCTGCCCTTAAGGAGCCGTAGTCCAGTCAAGAGATAAATAGATAAACAACTTATACAGAGTGTCAAATACCAGTAATAACCATGAACATTCATGGAGACTTACTGTGTGCCAGGTGGGTACTTACTTCTTTACGTGCAGTATGTCATTTCATCCTCAAACTCTAAGTACTCTGTGATAGCTGCTCCTTTTAGTCCCTTTTTGCAGATGAGAAAATCGAGGCTCAGAGACGTTAAGTAATTTGCTCAAAGACACACAGGTAGGATGCCATGGGGCCAGCACCAGAACTCCGGCTGTTTGACCAGAGTGCCTAGTCTTGTGGCCTCTAATGCAGAGGGTTGTAAGCCCTCGCTTTTGCAGCACACTTGACAGTTTCTAAAGCACGTCCACAGACATCATGCCTCTTGGTCCTTTCATCAAACCTCGGGTGGTAGACATTCTCCAGATGAGGATCCAGATGCTCAGAGAGGTGAAGTGACCTTTTCCCAAGGTCACAGAGGCAGGATCTGCCAAGCTGCTCTCCCAGCGCTTTGGCCTGGAACAAGGGCCGTGTACTTCTCCTAGGCCAGGAGGACAGGTGGCCAAGGAATGGTGTCCTTGTGGGGACCACCGCCTCTGAGAGGGTCCCAAGTGGAGGTCCTGGGGCAGCATCAGGGGGTCCCTGAGACCCTCTCCTGCTCTCAGTACCTGAGCGACAGCCCAAGACTGTGCCGTGTGGATCCTGGGGCTTGGGCAGAAGGGAGTGACTCGATGGCAGCTGGGTTCATGAGTGAGGCTCCCAGTCCCTCACCCCCTAACTACCTGGGATGAGGCCTGGGTTCTCACCAGGGACTCTGTGCCCTTGGGCCATAGCTTCCACTCCCTGGGCCTCAGTCTTCCCATCAGGAAAATGAGGGTTGGAACAGCCCATTGCCTTGAGTCCTGCCTGCTCAGAGAGCCTAGGGCTGGCCTTCTCAGGTTAGCTGTGAGCTGCCTCCCCTCAGGCTTCCTGGCCTCCACCCTGTCTGGCTAGGAGCCTCCATTTGTGCCAACACAGCCCAGATGGCAGGCTCCAAACCACCCCGTCCCGACAGCCCACCCCACCCTAGAATCAAGACATAGTCTGTGGATCGTCCTCCTTTGACAGGGGAGGAAACGGGGGGCCCAGAGACATTGAGTGATCCGTCTGGATCCCCAGCAAACCAGTGGTGGCACTGAGGGAACCAGGCCTGTGACACATTCTCCATCCCCTTCCCCCAGCACCCAACTCTGCACACATTTATAATATCAGTGGAGCCACTCTGAGGGGCAAGTGACCTTCCTGTGCCAATGGGCAAATCCTTGCCCCTGTTTGGGCATCTATAAAATAGAGGTGACAATTCCTTCTTCGTCCATCTTGCCAGTTTGCAATTGGGTGATGACTATGAAAGTAACTTTGTCTAAATTATCTCTTTTTTTTTTTATTGAGGTAACACTGATTTATAACAGTATATAAATTTCAGGTGTACATCATGAAAGTGACTTTGGAAAGTAGAAATTAGGAAGCTGAACTAATATCAGCATCTTACATTCCCAGGGCAGGACAGAACACCCAGAAGGGTCATCCCCGTCTCACTGGGAAGCCACATTTTTACAGACACTGAATCCAGGACCCACCCTCGCTGCCCTCCTACAGGGGTTTCTTGACTCTGGGATTCAGAAATCTGCACACATGTCCATACACAGCCTACCCACACCCATGTATATGGTCAGACACAGACACAAAACAGACACATTCACATGTCTGCAGATGTATTCCGAGACTTGCACATGTACACATGCGTGTATATACAGATACACATGTGGAAACACACAAGTACACATACCCAGGATGTCCATGCACACACAGCCACATCTGGTCTCAGAGTCACACACACACAGCTGCATGCACACGCGTGCACCCCCTCCACTCTCCTGGCACACAGACGTCTCTGGTGATGTGAGCAGGTCTTGCCTCCCCCCGGAGCAGTGTGGGAATGGATGTTTCTCTGGCTGCATTTCGATGGGTGCCCGGAAGCGCTCAGGCCTGGAGTGCCTGAGTAAATCAATATTTGCTGCTGTTAATTATTAAAAACAAAGCTACACCGTGTCTGGAACACACATCTCCGGAGTTCCTGCTGCCTCCCCGGGCTCCAGCATGACCCAGGGCCAGGTCTGGGGGAAAGGAAGGCGCAGTGCCTTCCTTCCAGGAACTCTTGGCCCTGGAGATGGAGAGTGGTGGGCAGCTGGAACACCTTCTTCAGGAAGCTGAAGAGAGGTTGGGCACTGAGATGGTGGGCAGCCCTGCAGGGTCCACATCAGCTGGTGTTGACTTGGCCACAGCTCAGAAAGTAATTGCCACTTTCCCAGCATCTGCCTGGGGAGGGGGTGCTGAGGCCCCAGCCCTGTCCCCGCTGTACAGGGGCAGACACAGCACAGAGTCAGCTGGAAGGGCCTGCAGAGTTCTTATATTTTATAGATGGGGAAACTGAGGGCTACAGAGGTGGCAGGGACTCACTCAAGTCCACTCAGCAAGTTGTAGCAAGGCCAGAGCTGGAACCCACATGTCCTGATGTCCACTCCATACCGTGGGGCCTTGGCAGCCCCTGCCTGGGCACTGTGGTCACCTCCCCCAGGATCAGGGCAGATAGGGCCCAGTATGGGGTATGGGCATGGGGCCTGCCAGGCATTAGGCCGGAGAGGGGTTAGGAGGAGGAGGGGACAGCAGCTCCAGGCCTTTCCTTGGCTTCCTAGTTCTGTCTTTTCCTAGCCGTGTGATCCTGAGCATATTTCACCTGTTGGAATCAGTATTCTATTCTGTAAAATGGGGATGACACTCGTACCTCCTGGGTCGTGAGGAGAGGATGAGACCTGTGAAAGGCCCAACATTTAGTAGGTGCTCAAGAAAAGCCCTCGATCTCCAAGGGAACCCCCTCCTCTTCCTGCCCGGCTTTACAGCCCGGTCCAAGAACCCCGTCTTTGAGGCCCTGCGGCGGGGTCCCCAGAGTCTGGGTAGACAGAGAAGACGGGGTCGGGCGCGCAGGGGACAGCCTGGGGGCTCCAGGGGACCCCGCGCAAGGAAAGCTTCCAGCGCTCCGGAAAGAGCGCGCAGGCGCAGTGTTCGGGGCCGCGGGGCGGGCTGCACCGGGGGCGGGGCCTCCCGTGTCCCCGCC